CCTACTGGGGTTGCCCGCACGTCCGCGCCGGATAGCTCCTCCATTCTGCTTCCTACGCGGCGCTTTGGAACACCCGCGATAGCTCGCTGGGTGTCCCTCTTCGCCGCATAGAACACAGCTTGGAGGGCCCTCCGTCTCGGGCGTTCGGGGGCACTCAGTAGTGCCATGATCGCCTAAGCACTTGACGCACCTAGGCCTGGCGAAACAATTCTTAGCCGAGTGGCCGTATAACTGGCATCGGTGGCACTGGCCAACGATGCCCCTATTACGCGGAGACTCTACTACAATCCCCGTAAGATTGCATATTCTATTAATGTTATATATTTGTTTGCCCTCTGGAGACAGGTCCAGTATGACAAGACAGAGATCGAAGTATCTTTTCTTATCTGTAGGGTGGTGCATCCTGTGCACTTCTCTAACAGGCAGGTTTTGCGATTTAAGATCGCTTAGAATGGATTCGGTTTCGAGCTCTTTAGGGAGACCGCGAACTACAACACGGAGGTTACGGTCCTCCGCGAGTGAGTATGTATGGAAGCTCAAGTTTTGAGCTTTTAAATGCGCAGTTAAAGCGCGGAAATCGTCCGTCGTTGCGACGTGGATGCGGATGCCTTGTGGTCCATTGTGGACTTTGGGGCAGAAAATTTTCTTTGAGTCTATCCACTTGGATAGGTTGCTCCAGCGCGACTTGTCCTGTAAAATTATAGGCGGCGGCGGCTTCTCCTTTCTAGGTTCGGCCTGAGTCGGTTTCGCGGTTTTAATCGCGGAAATTTTGCGCGCGGAAGGCGCGACTTTTTTTGCCGGAGTGGCGTTAGGCGACGTAGGGGACGAGTGAGGCTCGTTTCCCTTTTTCGCGGCGGTGCGCTTACGCTTTTTACCCGAGACTAGGGTGAAGCCTTCGTCATCGGGTTTAGTAGGACGGTGAAGTTCGATGTCCATTTCGGAGCCTGATTCAGCGTCCGAAAACAACGGTGTAGGACCGCGGGTGGAGAGCGCAGAAGGCGCAGGGGACGCGGCGTCGTATACTGTGTCGATGGACACAGGGGTCGAGCGGCCGGAGCTCGGTGAAGCGGGATCGTCGATACGAAGTACTGGGCGTTCAGCGGTGGACGAGTTACGTTGGGCTAAGAATTTAGCCCAAGCGTCGGGGCACACTTGTCCGAAGAAGTCGGCGAGTTCGGCTATCGTTATAGCCGCCATCTTGTCAGTGGTTAAAACACTTGTGTATCAAGCCCCCCCACCTTTCGGCGGGGGAGGTGTGTGCCTAAACGAACACTTATACAACTAGCGCGTTGGTACGCTAGGGTGTGTACCTAGCTGTCGCCTAGTGCGACAAGCGAACACAGAAATTAAAATAGAATAGCTGCCTCTGAGGCAGCGGGTGTGTAATAAAAACTACTTACAGTTTTACTGGGAAATCCGAGAACGTGGGGCACTACACTAGCACTACACGAAACAGAACAATGGGCCGGCGGCCCGATGCACCTGGCAACCGTAACGGAGCACAACGACACCGAAGCACTCGCGCACGCAGGTAAAATGTCCTGTCCTTGTCTTCTTTCTTCTTATCGCACTGGGAGCGCATAGGCTCGACCGAACAATAGCACTTTCCACGGTTGGGTCGCAGGCGACCGAATGCGGCGAGGTACCTGATCGGACTGACTACCACTACGACTACTCACTGTTACTCACCTTGCACCGCACCGCGCTGACACCTATTTATCGCTTCTGCGCAGTTTCATAACTCGTGGCATGAGCTTTACTTTACTAGTGTGTGTAACGTAAGCAATCATAGACTTAGAATATACTGGCGTAAAACAATGTATGTTTAATTTAATATAATACATTTGTAACAAATATTATAGCTATCTGTACTCCTTTTCCATATAAGCTTGAACCAAAAACTAGTAAGAAGTACACCTTATCTATGCCAAGCATTTTTCCGTGCGCGCAATATGCTTAAATAGGGTAACAAAGTTTTCCATTGAAGTATTAATATGAAAATTCTTATTTAAATTGATTAAAATTTACATAATCATGTGTTTTTGAATTAACGGGGATGCAATTTTGAGTAGCGTTTCAAAACACTCCATTTATATTTTAAAAAGTTCTATAGGTCAACTAGTTACAGTCAGATCAAGTAGTTTCAGAGGCCCTAGACAAAGTCACATTTTCATTAACGATAACGAAATTACATAACTCCGAAATATATGAAACTGATATAAACTTTCGCGATATCACTTGGTCGATCGTTTCAATCGCTAATTGCTAGACAATGTGAAACCGCGTAACGAAACGTTAAAGAAAACTAATAACACGAACGATATTATCTTAGCAATGCGTAGACAAATGGCACTTTTGACATTCGAATCGAATTCGCTGAGAAGAGGAACCGTTCATTCGACTAATTAGCGATTGCTTGAACCCTTTAGAAAAGCAAAATAACATGGATGTTTGTTAGTACTCGTAAGCCGCGTATCGATTATGCGCTCCTGGCGTGTGGGCCATGAACGACCGCGCTGACCAGTACGTTCCGCGGAACGCGTTTCAAATGTTCGAATTATATCAGCTAAGTGCACCTAACACGCGCGGCAGATGTTCCAGTGTTTGACCGTTCAACATGGACGTCGGTCCTGTACGAGCAGCTGCAGCTTTCATAGTTCCACAGCAATTCCACTTTAACCAAAATTTTATCAATTTATGGCAAGTAAACGAACAATAAAACAAATTTTATTATTACAAGAAATTTTATTGATACCTATATAACCAAAAATGTACTTAATACGAGGGTGGATTGACAAGTACTCTACATTCATGTTAGTTCAACTATAATTAGTTGTGATTTTATAAATTTATTAACAAAGTAATCGGACATAATTTCCGCGAATGGAGCAAATCGAGCAGCGTGCCGTCATTAAGTACCTCCATAAGAAGGGGCTATCATCAAAAACCATCCATGATGACATGGTCAGTACATTAGGCGATTGTGCTCTCGTCAAAAAATGGATAGCAGAATTTAAGCGTGGTAGAGAGAGTGTGAAAGATGAACCCCGCTCTGGAAGGCCTTCGACGTCAACTACTGACGAAAATATTAAAAAAGTACTTGATTTAATAATGGGAGACCGCAGACTAAAAATTAGAGAGATAGCCGAGATTATAGGCATCTCTTATGAACGAACTCAAAACATCATTGTCAACGAGTTGGGTTTCCACAAGGTGTCTGCGAGGTGGGTTCCGCAACTGCTTTCAGTTGAACAAAAAAGGACGCGATTGAATGACTGTTTGGAGTTATTTGAAGCCGATGCAGATGATTTTTTGAATCGTTTTGTTACTATGGACGAAACATGGGTTCATTACTGTACACCGGAAACAAAACAACAATCAAAACAGTGGAGAAGACCTGGTTCACCACCCCCTAAAAAAGGCTAAGTCGATTTTGTCGGCAAATAAGGTGATGGCTTCAGTATTCTGGGACTCGAAAGGTGTGATTATGATTGATTATCTTGAAAGGGGTCAGACTATAAACTCTGATTACTACTGCACCTTACTACGTCGTTTACGAGAGGAAATAAAAGAAAAACGTCGAGGAATGCTCAGAAGAAAAGTCCTGTTTCATCAAGATAACGCCCGTGTTCACACGTCAGTACAGTCAATGGCTGAAATTCACAACTGTGGCTTTGAACTGTTACCGCATCCGCCGTATTCACCTGATCTGGCACCATCAGACTTCTTTCTGTTCCCTAACCTAAAAAAGCACTTGGGAGGTCAAAGATTTTCGACAAACGACAAGGTCAAAGCAGCTGTAGACGCATATTTTGACTCTAAGGAAGAATCTTTTTTTTTTTCAAAGGTCTAAATGCTTGGAAGGGGAGGTGGCAAAAGTGTATTGAACTTGATGGTGATTATGTAGAAAAATAAAAATATAACTGATTTAGTATGTGTTTATTTTCTTGGTTAGGCCGAGTACTTTTCAATCCACCCTCGTAGTAACCTAATGGTTAAGGGTTCGAATTCGCAATTTCTACTGTCGTGGATCTAGCACAAGCATTTTTCTTTAGGAGTGGCTTAGAGAAATAAATGTTAAAACCATAAATTAAGAGAAACCGTATAGTCTGTAACCGGCTTAAAATCGATTTTTTGTCTCTTTACTACTGCACACAGCTGTCAAATGTAAAATTCACACGTTTTCTTGGCGTTGTTTGTCGTCCGGCGTTACATTTTTTGCAGTTTCTCTTTTGTTTCGTTTCGTCTGTTGTGATGTAAAATGTAACGTTGGACTTGTGTCCGATGCACATCCTTAAATTCTTATCCAATATTGTGAGTATAAGTCATAATTATATACTAATATATTACTTCCACAAAAAAGTTAGTGCATCAATAAATTATGATTTATATGACAGTTTTTCGCATAAAACAATTACTATGTATGAAGCAACGCTTTATTAAAGAAGAAATAAAAGTATCCAAGTATTCAGCACAGTATTTATGTATGTAAAAGAGCATAATGCAATGATGAACGTACATACTATTTCTCATTATGTGTAGTTTTGCGGCCAAGGTCGCAGGCAGCGGAAAACTATGTACAAGGTGTTTGATTGGTTCTGTCTTATTTTTATCAGTAAACTTATGAACTTTATTTGTTTTTAATTGTTTCTTTATCGCTACGATGTACAAACACAGCTCAATGATGATGTTTTCCTAGACTTAATTAAATTATTATTTTTTTGTTATGAATGAAATTTGACCTTGTGGTCATTCGTCTGGCGTAATTCGAATAATAATTAAAAATCCCATTCATTCTCACTTAAGAGTATCACTTAATTGTGTAAGAGATAAGAAATGCAATAAAATATCAATTGTTTTCAGACCAAAAACAATAAACAAAACATGTAGTTGCAAGCAGAGCACCTCTAAAATTATGTTTGCAATAGCCCCATAATGGACATCCCTATGACATAGAATTAGATATTTGCAATAAATGGATTACACTTAGAGATTCAACAATGGCTTCACCCACCTATTTGAGTTCTGTTAATGAGACGCAAGCAAATCTATTCACAGCTTCAAACCAGAGCAGAAAGCTCACAACCATTGATTTAGTTGGTGGCATTTTGTGCAATGTCTGCTACACAACATTTGGAAATAAGAAAGATTATGATGCTCATTACGTAAAACATAATGGAGACAGTAAGGGAATTGTCTACACATGTGTGGTGTGCCATAAAAATATTACAGGCTATCCGAGTTTCAGAGGTCACTGTTACACTAGTCATGTAATGAAAGACAAATTTAAGTAAGTAAATAATGTTTTGTGTTTAAGTAAATAAATATCAATTTGTATTGTAGTGGTGGTGTAAGAATATCCACAATACCATATTGTATCCATGGGTGTTGTAAGAGCCAACAGAGGGAAACTGTAATAGGAAATGGGCAGTAGCATCTTCCTAATAACAACTCAGAGTAATTAAAAAAAACTGTAGTTGCCAACTTTTCTGCCAAGTGTGCCAACTATGTTAAAATTCTCCCTCTACAGAGGAGGTCTATGTTCAGCAATAGACTTATACAGACTGTAATAGAAATCATCTATTCTTATATTGTAGATTTGCAAGAGCTAATTAATTAGTATATTTGTCTGAATATGTTTGTTCAATAATTCATACCTACTCAAAACAGCTCTGCAAAAATTTGTAACTTATTTCATTATTAAATATTTTGCAATGGTAAGGACAAAGGGAGGTCTCCCTCTGGGCAAGGTGATCAGCCTGGGGAGCGGCCAATGCTACATATAGTGGTACAGAGCTATTCTACACTGACCTACAAAAATATTAACCCATCTAAGTTTTCTTACAAAAAGTGTTCTATGGGTTTTTACCACAATCGGTAGATATTTTTTATCTTGATAATGTAATAATGCAATTATAGAATTGTAAAAAACTAAAAAACGGCTGTGAAATGGGACATTTTACTTACAAATGTGATGAGACTTTGAAACCATAACATTTTACAAAGGAGATGAACAAAATTGGGTGCTTGACATCGTTCCGAACAGTTATACAAAAATATGTAGGTAATAAAACGATAAATTGTAAGCATAATTAAATGGTTTTTATTTCTGTTGTCCTTGGTACAATCATAAAAACATTTTTTATATTCAAAAATGAAAGCTAATGCTTTTACTACAAGAATGAAATGTTTTTAACAATTTTACTGTGAAGATTGTTATTTACATTTTTTGACATTTAAAAAAATGTAAACCTTACTCTAATATGGGATGTTTCCTCCTCTTGTTTTTATTACCTCCTGCATATGCCGTTTAAGGGAACGGATCAGCTTTTTTATGTCTTCTTGGGGTGTCTGTTCTCATTCTTCTGTTAAGGCGGCTTCCAGTTAATCCAACATCTTGGGAACTGGATTTCGGGCTCTAACCTTTCTTTTTAGCTGGTCCCAGAGATGCTCGGTGGGATTTAAGTCCAGACTATTAGCTGGCCCCTGCGTAACTGGAATTCCGACCTCCTGAAGATATTCAGTTACAATTCTAGCGACATGCGGTCTTGCGTTATCCTGCACAAGTTAAAAATTGTCCCCAATATAGCGTAAGGCATCACATGAGGTTGCAAAATGTCCGTAATGTAACTTTCAGCATTAACCGCACAACTGCAATAGAAAATTAACTCAGTACATCCGGTCAAAGATATGCCACCTCAAAACATTGTAGGGCCTCCACCAAACCGGACTGTTTCTCTTATGTAACACTAAGCATAACATTCTTCTGGTCTTCGCATAATGTTACGACGTCCATCAGAGCCTGCAAGGGTCAACTCTTTTTCTCACTGTATTTTCACCTACATACACTCCACGAGTTTCCCTCAGCCTACCCTGAACATCAACAGCAGAAAGATGCCGATTTCATAAGGAAATCAAGGCAATAAAACGGCCATCCGTTGGGTTTGTGAGACATCCTCTTCCAGACCCTGGTCTCTGGCGGTACTCTGCCATCTCTAAGTATCGTTTATAAACTCTACGCACTGCTGATCGATTCAAATTTGATCTTCTTGCCACGTTTCATTGATAGCCCTTCACAAACGAGAGCTACCACTTGAGCAGCTTCTGCTTCAGTGGTATTCATATTTTATGGTTAAAAGTAACAATATGTCTGCTCCAACAAAGAATTACAAGATTAAGCCACCGCAATGCACAGAACCAAGAATATTACGCGTCAAGTCTGAAATAAACTAACGTTGCACTCTATGCACAAGTAGACAATTTTTATTAGTGCGCTTAAAATGTTACAAATACCCACAATAGCACTTGTATTCCTCTAAAACAATGTCAAGTGGGTACTCAGATGTTAATTTATAATTCATAAGCAAAAACATGCAAATATGTCAACCCATACTTAAAATAACAACTTTGTTACTCAAAACTAACGGATCGGTCGATTTTTTGGCACCACCAAATATATTATGCATTTTTGTTTGGGTTTGAAATTATGATTTTTGAGGTTAATTTATCATTTTTACAGGTGTGATCACTGTGACAAGCAGTTCTCAAAATTGACAGCCCTGAAAGATCATATTGATATTAAGCACAAGTTCAAATGCACCTCTTGCAGTCAAGAGTAAGTGATATTACTATGATTTTATCTTGTTTTTTATAAACAGTCTATCATTAAATGCCTATAAATAGAAAAGGTAAAATATAATCCACAGTGAAGTCTGAATGTTGGAGTCTGTTTAATTTATGAGTTGTTATTTCTCCATTGGTGACATACATGAATTATTTTCTTATATAGGTTCAAATCAGAGAAAGATAGATAGAACATACATATACCTGTATTTGTTTGTATGAGTGTGTTTACTTTTACAACAAGTTGAGTATGGATTTTGAGTCACTAGAAATGTTTGTTGTGTTCTACCTTTCTATGTTGTCTGAGTTAATTATTTTTTTACATATTGAATTTCCCTCAAAATATCCAACCAGTGCATTTTGAAATTAAAATAATGAAATGATTTCCTTTTCTACTGGCCGTATAACTAGGCGTAAAATTGCTCAGCAAGCTACGTTGGGAGCTATGCATGGCGTTTCAGTGTGTGACTTCGTCAAGAGACTATCTGCAGTTGAACTAGAGTAACTATGTTATGTATGTAAATGGCAATGGGTTTGCCATATAGCTATAGACTGTATATTGACAACCAATGGGTAAAAAATGTTCTCAAGTTGCAGCCTCATACCAGTAAGCAAACTGTGACATGGCTTCCCACAAGATAAAATGATGATTTGGAAAGAGATGTAGGAGGTATGTGGATGCAGGTAGCTCAGGACCTTGCTTTGTGGCATTCCTGGAGGAGGCCTATGTTCAGCAGTGTACTTGTGAAGGGATTTAATGATGATGATGATGATATTTCAATGAATACTTTTGTCTTCTTGATACAAACCACACTATTACAGGCTTTCAATGTGTCAGACAAGTAACATACATGAGGAGTTGCGACACTGTTAACTTAATATTTTTGTACTTTGCAAAGCAATAATCTTTGTCTAGTCATTCTGACAATCTGTGATGGGGGCTGTAATTTAATCTCATAGACTTATACTTTGAGATTAGGCTCTTTTAAAATTGACTTTTCAATGCATTTATTCATTGCTCATGCAATAATTTATTTAATATATACATGTTTCGTTTTCTCTAGATTCCAATCAAAAAAAGAGATGCAGATACATCAGATTATACACAACAATAGTGATAATCCACCTTACAATTGTCAGTCATGCGAGAAGCAAATCAACAGCCTCGATGGTTGTGAATATCATATTGATTTGCACACCTCCTTCACATACTGCTGCCCTATTTGTGGTGAAGCTATAAAAATGAAACAATCAGCCGTTGAGCACCTCAAACAACATTTTGGCGATGTGATCATAGATGAAATAATTTCGGGAGTTGAGGAAGCACCTGATGATGATTTTATAGAGAAGCTTGGTGGAATATTTTGCTGTATTTGCTCAACTGTGCACAAAAACCGGATTAATTTTGATGCACACTTTTCACTGAAGCATGGGTGTCAGGATATAGTGTATACATGCAATGAATGTAAAAAGCAATTTGACAAGTATTCAGTTTTCGGTAATCACTGCTACAATCACTTTATGAAAAACAGATTCGAGTAAGTTTTTTTTTTTAATTTAGTGACATTGAAAGGAGTTATGGTACTTTCAACACAAATACTAAATCTTGGGTATTTTGAAGGAATAAATGTGTTTTCCATGAAATTTATAATTTATATTATATTTTTACAAAATAGCGGCACCTTTCAAATTGAGAATGATTTACTTACTAGTAGAGATGGGTAGGTTTCCATTCTGAAACGAATCCACAGACCTGTATCCCTCTCATAATTGATGGATGAACATTCAGCGGCGATTCGGATCCCGATCTGATATTGCCAACTGTTTTGACTGGATTTGGCAGACACAGGTACTCTGCCGGAACATGAGATGTCAGGAATTAGAATATTTCAAAGGGATAAAATCCGCAACATTGGATTTATTCAATAATATTTCAATTCGGCCTAATAATAAGTAGCCTACAAGGTGACCGACATGTAGGGTGGTCTGCCGACCGAATTTATTCCTGTAGTCGTTTCTGTAAATGGGCTAATCCCAGTCAGCCCCTCGAGTCATCTAAGGCGGCTGGCACTCCATGATGGACTACTCCAGGCTTGAATGCGGTGCTCCTCTATACTACCCGTATTGTCCATTGATTTCTTTCCCTTTCCCTCTATTACAATATATTAACATAAATAAACAAAATCTGATTGGGTTTTGTTTATTTATGCTAGTATATTAAATGATAAATGTACATATATATATATATATATATATATATATATATATATATATATATATAATATACATACATATTTATCATTTCCTTTTATATATTTATTCAGCTCAATGAGAATACTCTATTAATACCCCTAAATAACAATAATATAGTCTATATTTCCATATATATCAGTTAAAAATATGTCTATTTATAAACTACACAGGTATATTTTATCTTATAACGTGATAAATAGCATCCATTACTGAACTAGGCCAGAACCTGTATTTCAGCATATGGCGCCACTCCTAAAACATAATAAACATAGATTATTTATTTGTATTATGGAAAAAATACCAAACTTTATTATTTATATTACATATGTGTTATAAAAATGTTAAATAGAAAAAAAATATGATTTTAATTATTAATATAATATACAAATTACAAACGACAGTAGGCTAATGATGGGTGCAAACTGGAAACCCAAAAGGCTGTTATCTAATTTGCTACTCTAAAGCTACAGATGTGAGTCATAACAGAGGTTATTGGGAATATTAGTAATGTTAATAGTATTGCTAGTAATTTTTAAATTCTTTAAAGAATACTAAATAAAAACAGGTTAAATAGGGTGATGCAATCAGTTCTATTTTCTTGGTGAGGTATGACAAATGAGCACAGTCGACCAGTAAGTGGTTGCTGTGCCCCATGGACATGTAAATCTGTTCTCAATTACGAATCAAAATGCAGATACGTTGTCCCCATGAGGACTAATATTTAATGCCTCGTTTCCAGTAAAAAGGGTCCCTGATTCTCTACACTCACCATATGAAACACAGCAGTGTTATGCTGCTATTTCACGCTAGTATTCTGTGAGAGTGTGGTCCTTCCCCAGTTTAACCTACCCATTCATGCTACAAATATATTACTTATATAGCTGCAGCATGGCTCTACCATGCGGAAAAACTGTTACAGCTCCACTACCATTATTAAATGAGAATTTGTTTTACAGGTGTGATCAATGTTGCAAAGCATTTCCACGTCTGTCGCTACTCGCAACCCACACAGAGGCTTACCATGGTAGCGGTTTGTCTGGGACAAAGCCATTTTCGTGCATGTGTTGCGGCCACCGCGTTTGTACTCAGAAAGCGCTGCGGACGCATCTGCGGGAACAACACAACATAACCTGTGTGCAGTGCCCGCAGGAGGGATGTGAGAGAATGTGAGTTATGGCTCACGCAATCTATCTTGGCCGGACTGAAGTTAGTCGCGAGAGGCTGCGCATATACAGTTTTTAGGAACAAGGTGGTGACAAGAGGAGAGGGAGGGTGGGCGGTAAATAAAACTAGAGATCTAACACGCGAATTATATGGTTACAATAACCACATATTAAATAATGTTACGTAGAATCGATTATCGTTATTATCAATTTTGATTCGATTTTATTTTATATTTTTTGAAGTGAAAACTTCTTTAGATTTAGGATATTAAAAAAAATAAAAACAAAATTTTTATTTAAGTAAATAAATTAATTAAAATCTATCGAAATTCAGATCATATCCATCCTACTCTACGAACGGTAATAAAGCAATAAATTTAGTGGGCATCTTTGACCTTGTCACTTCGCAGGATCACAGGCTCAAGGGCAAAGGGAAAAACAATTTTTCAATCATTTAATTCGAAATTTTTGTTTTTATATTTTGTAAAATATCAGTGCCATAGGCTTCTACTCCGTTCACATGTTACACCCTATTTTTTCCAGACGGTAGAAAAAGTAATCCATTATATTCCATTTATTTGAATTTTATTGTATCTTATATCTTTATTACTCATTTATAATAATTTTTTTTATTTGTAGAAAAAAAGGTGACAAACAAGCTCACAGCCCACCTGATGCGAAGTGGATTCTGTAGCCCATAGACATATACAAATCAAAACGGTGTGTTGACACTCCCGAGCATTAAAATGGAATACCTTATTTCCGGTAAAAAGGGTGTCCGGTTCTCTACACTCACCATACGAGCATTGAGTTGCTATTTTACGAAATAAAAAATCTATTTATTTTTTCTTAAATTATAAAAGTTAAGAGCCGTGGTAGCTCAGATGGTTAGCGCTCGCTGTAAATTTCACAATACGCAAGCAAACCGGGTTCGATCCCCACCGACACCAATGAAATTGTTAATTGCAATTTTAAGTGCTGATTCACCACGTGCTCGGCGGTGAAGGAAAACATCGTGAGGAAACCTGCATGTCTGAGAAATAAGAAAAAAAATTTGAAGACATGTGAAGTTCGCCAACACGCATTGGGGCAGCTCGGCGGACTATTCCTTGCCCTAAAACCCTCTCAGAAATGAGAGGCAGTCTGTGCCCAGCATTGGGACATAAATAGTCTGTAAATTTACTATACTTTATAAAAGTTAAACTTAAAATATACAGATACGCCAAATAAGTTTTGGGTACTATTCATATTCAATTCAAATTATATGTGTAGTAATTTATTAATAATAGTGTCCACTGTTGAATTGCAGTTTGGTATATTGTTTATACCAGTGCGTGTTGCCAGTGATGACTTACGGATCTGAGACGTGGTCCTTCACTGTTGGCCGTATGAGGACGCTCAAGGTCGCTCAGCGAGCTATGGAGAGGGCTATGCTCGGAGTTTCTCTGCGTGATAGACTCAGAAATGAGGATATCCGCAGTAAAACCAGAGTGACCGACATAGCCCAACGGATTAGTAAGCTGAAGTGGCAATGGGCCGGCCATAACCGATGGGGAAGAAAGGTTCTCGTGTGGCAGCCTCGTGCCGGTAGGCGTAGTGTAGGGCGACCCCCCACTAGATGGAGTGACGACCTGGTAAGATGCAGGAAGTCGATGGATGCAGGTGGCTCAGGACCGTGCTTTGTGGCATTACTTGGGGGAGGCCTATGTTCAGCAGTGGACTTGTGAGGGGCTGTAATGATGATGATGATGATATTATTTATAAATGCCTCTATATCTTTTTAGGAATAAAGCCTCATAATATTTTTTTTAGTTTCGAAACACCGAAAGAACTGACGTTCCATCAACGCTATCATAATAATACGCAAAATTGGTGCCGTCAGTGTGGTCTCCTCTTTACCTCACTATCTGCATGTGAGAAACATCTTGATATGCATAGGAAGAAGACTTACTCTTGTCCCATTTGTGGCCGCAACTACGGGGAGAAGCATTTGGTTATAAAACATGTCTCGAAACACTTCGAAACTGTCATCCACATATGCAAAGTCTGTGGAAAGACATACAACGCCAAAAATCGCCTTGTCCAACACATTAAAGTCCATTCAGACATGAAGACACACACTTGTACCCATTGCGGCAAAGGATTCGTAAAACTCTGTCATTTGCAGCAGCATTTGAATACACATACTGGTGTAAGGCCTTACAAATGTGTCGCTTGTCCAAAAACGTTTGCAAGCTATCCGAACTTGCATAAACATTTGCGTAGGATGCATAATGTTGACGGAAAAGGCCTCAAGAAGACTCTTTCTGAAGCTGCAAATGAAGGAAACAGTGAAAACTCAACAGATGCAAGTGGTTCCAAAGAGAGCACTGTTAATTTCGAAACCGCATCAATTGATAACAATACAGATTTTACAAACAATGACTCGAAAATACATCCATATAAATTTGTTGAATCTGACGATAGTACAATGGAGTCAAATAGTATTGATCACATACTGATAGAAAAGGAGTTGCAAATTTTCGAAGCTTCAACAAGCAGTACTAACGTACAACCAGTGAACACAAAACTGTTTGTGTCAGGTAATTATTTCTAAGCCTTCATTTTTCTTTATCTCTACTTGTCTGTTCTATTGATTATATGTTGGTTTGAGAGGATCCATGGCTCTTAGTCGATATATGCGGCTGTACCGTGTGTCACAGATCTGAGATGGGAAATTCTGCTCTGCATCTTTGAGGCGTCTGGTACTTTGATTGGCAATCCGCCGCCAATAGTGACTTAAATCAAATCCTTACCCGAGCACACAGTCTTCCTGATGGTAAATGAGTGCTGAAGTCTACAGATAGAATCGAACCAGTTTAATATTCGATTTGTTCGATTATTCATATGCAAGCCAAGCCCTACACATAGGCAGCCATTTTCCACTGCACACCTGTAACAAAGTAAGGCTTATGTGTTAAAATCGGAGGCAGGCTGTGGATGTTGTATTAGAGCACAAATACCGTCTGAATTTCGAAACCGAAAAGCTGGCGTAGTGACCAAACAATCTGAACGCTAAGCCACTAAAGCGCCATCTGGGTTTAGAAACAAACTGGTGTAATTATCAAGTATTCCGGAACTCAAGCTGCTAATACCAAAGTATTAATACTAGTACTATAACTACATAGTCGTTAGTTGTATTGTGTGATGAAATGTAATAGATGGCGGTAAAACCGACCGACGAAAAGCAGTGTCAACTGGTGAGAAATTTGTGATTGTGACTGACTTTTATTTGTTTTATAAAAAGCGGTACCTCCACATCATGATTTTCTCCTTTATCATGTTTACATATATAAATTTCACAAGGACAAACATCCAGACCCGGAACAATTATTTGTAGGTCATACAAATACCGTGCAGGATTCAAATCCGCGGTGCTCTGCGCTGCAACTCATTGCTAAGCCACTGTGCTGCAGACCCCTCAACTTGGGGTCTGTGACTCGCTTGTCAAGTGTTACGATTAATGCAAAACCTTTCTACTATGTGAGGGTCTTCAAGAATGAATTTCTTATGAGTTTATAAGGGAAAGGAAATAAGTTTCAAATAGACTGTAAAGAAAATATTTCTGTTGTTCCCAGAAGGCCCTCAAGAATCCCCAGTCATCAATGAACAAATGTCTTCCACCATAAACTATCCACTTGAATATGGACCGGAATTCAACAGTGGCCCGGACACCACCAATGGTTCCTGCTTCATTGACTTGGACGAACATATCCTCCCACACATAGACCCCCTCCTCACCATCAGAAATGAAGAACCCCTTCACACCATGTATGTTCAAAGTCTACCTGACTTTCCATATGAAAGCTTCGATAACAATTTAAACACCAACTTCGATTCGAATAAGTGGGAGCCTGTTATAACAAAAGTCTACCAAGACTACACATGTGGTTATGGGGACATGACTGACGACAGTAAGCTATCTATTATGAACACTGATATATTTTGAAATGGTTTTTTAAATAGTTAATAGTTATATTTTGTATCTACATTATGTTATGGCCCGATGGTCTCGGATGTGCATTGCTGTTGTTGTCCGACTCGCTATTCTCTGTTGGGCATTTGTTAATCCGTGGACCATTCGGCCAATTCACACAGCTACCTCAAACAGTAACGATTATGTACCTCAGTAATCAATAGGGAGTATTTTAATGTTGATATAATATACATTTATAGCATATATCCCACCAAACATTAGGCAAGTAACTTTGTAATCATATTCATAATGATGCTACCTCATTTAGTTAAGATATTTTCTTTACTTCTCTATCTTAGTAGAAACAACTTGAATCTTTCCATCGTCATACGAATTGTGTTGTGTATGTCACATATGAATTTTCTTGACATGTGTATGATTCATGGAGTAAATGCTTGGTTTTATTTCAGTTTAAGCCGGGTTGATTAAACTTAATACAATTCTTGAGAGCCAACTCTTACAATTTTTGCATTGAAACTTGTTTACTCAATCCGGCTTATCAAACAATTTATTTCAGCCACACTTTAAGACCACTTTGGGCTTACAAGAAAAATCATAAAATTTGGGTTTTGATCGAGATTATTGCCCAAAGAAAGATTTTAATTCGGAATCTATCGTTGTTTCTAGTTTATAGAAAAATACTATCCGTATTATTTGACAATGTGTCAATGGTGTTTTTCCTAAGAATCGGCGATAAATTTCGAATTGAACGGTTGGTCAAAGTAATTTTACTATCATTTCAAATGATTTTCAAAAGTAAATTTTTTAGGCTAAGTTAATTTTGGTGAACACAGGCTTTGTAAATATTTTGAGTATTTTGCGGCTCTTTGTAATTTGAATTTTGATTTCGCTTCATTTGAGAATGCCTCAAAACGCTTCAGTAGGAACTTTATGAAACGAGACGCCACATCTTGAATGTTTTCATAGGATAGTCAGTCGTTTGTTTTGGTCAATTCAACTCGTTATGGACTAAGTGTCACACATCTGTGGTTTTTTTCTTACATTTTACACCTAGGTCTTACTATGGTAACCTCTACATTGTATGATTCTGTTACTCAGTATACAGTTTTTGTGGAAACCTAAAACTACTTAGTTATCAAAGCATAATAATTGAAGTTGCAATAATGTTGCTAGAGCATAATATATTGTGAGTACATATAAATTTATTTAGTCGCCTTAGATATAATATATACATCTTATTTAATTCCATTAAAAGATAAAGTCAATCAAAGTATTCTTTTTTATGTTAGTGGAACGTTTTTTAGATTATAAATAATATGTTTGGGTATTTAAGGTATAAAGAATTTCATTTGATTATTTTGCACACATTTCTTTTAGTTTATCTATAAATTTTCTTGCTCGTCAGTACATTTGTTTGTAATGTCAGAGATACAACTCAATATATAAGTTAATTTCATTTGAAAACAATAACTTGCGTTCTCTCTTTCCAGTGAATAAAAACAAAACACTATGAGTATGGCTATAGCGTATTTGTTTCAGAATAAAAATGATCCAATATGGCTGTTTACCTCTTCAATTTGTGGTTAAAAACCACAGATGTTGCTTGCTTAGAATATAATAGAAAACTTTTATTATTTTATTTAGCCAAGCTCTATACTAGTATGTGAGGTTTTACAGATATACACACTGTTCGGTTCAATGGTGGCGCTCGCTTGCATTTCTATTTCGATTCCTTTTTTATTATTATTATTTTATTGGAAGTCGCGAACGCAAAGCGACGCGATTTTAGTGTAAGTGAATCGATAGTGCTGTGATATTTTTATGTATATTTAGTAATGTTAAGTGTAGGGAGTGTAACTTAACGAGTGAGTACAAAGATATCGTTATTTATGAACGGAATAATTTGTATGCGTACATATTCTGGACGAGCGTTCACATACGCTTTCACAGAATACTTACGTCCTGGTATACCTTCATGCAAATAGAATGATGTTGTTGGTAGTGCGTGGTAATTTTTTTAGTAACATTTCAGTATTTTTGATAAGGCAACACATGTTTATGGTTATGAAAAGATTACACACTTTTTCTTTTACTTCTAACTTGCTCTTACTGGAATTTATTGTAGCCAATCGTTTTTTCAACTAAAACAATTGCCACGTACGCCCATTCGATATAAAAACGCTGTCTTATGTATCCATTCGGAACGGGACGGCGTCAGCATGCGTTCGAAAATTCGTATCGAACCTCAAGCCAATTTGACATTTGAAGTAACGCAGTTACAGAGTACTCTTTCTGAACGGTTGCTATGATATAAAAGTAAAACGAAAAAAAAATAATTTTTGAAAAAATTAAATGAACCTCGAAGTATATTTTCGAGAAAGTAAATTATTTATAAAGTTCTAAGCGGGGTCTTAGTGATAGATGTATCCAAAGACTGTTAGGTATTATAAGTTCATTGAACTTAATTCGACTATTTAAAGTCGCAGATATAAATGCAATCAAGTCAGATGATCGGTAACAGATAACAAAACAAATGAAGTAGCTATCGACAATGGGCTTTGACCTAAATAGAGACGGGAATAGTCTCTACCGTCATTTACGGTACTTAGTGGGCATTATCGCATAAGAAAACTGAATCAGACAAAAAACGAAGTCCTTGATTAATGCATGCGCAGGATAACGCCATGCTTTTGGAAATCACAAGTGAAAAATTACATTAGCGTACTTGTTGCTTGAAAGGAAACCAGTGGAAAAATAAATGTTTTTCGTAAAAAAGAAACGTTGGATGTTATCTGCATCATGCTTCTATGAATGAGATCGAGATGAATCGAGCAACGAGAATTCAGCTTAGACCATTGCATGGTCAACAATTAAAAATTTGCTGCGTCACAGTTATGGCATAGACCATTATGTAGTTTTACATAGGTTTGTCTATAGTGACTATGGCGCGGTGCCACTGTCAGTTGCTTAGCTAAAAATACACTGTTCGATGGAAAAGGTATGTTTGGTTGGTTAAATCATTTTAGGTGGGAAATATACACGTAATTACTTTGATCGGGATTACAGTATTTGATATGCATTAATATTATGGGATGTTTAGAGAAGTTAGTCTTGCCCATTTATGTACAGTTGTGTCCCACTGTAACGTTTCGCTTTGACTAAGGGGGGCCAGTATAGGATGTTGAGCATTTCATCTTAATCCTCCGGAGAAAATCGCATCTGTAAAAATAGCTATTTTCGTTTAGAGTTAGTTGCAGACGATAGTGGGCTGCAGTCAGAAATGGTGGAACGACTGAGAAAAAAGTAATTCAGTGTTTATTTCATCGATCTAGAAATAGATTTACTTAATAGTTCGTAAACGTTTGGCATAGAGTGGAGAAACGACGTCGCAGTGTATTTTGCTCCACGTTGACAGTTTAGTATAAATTTGGTGGATTCATAGGTCTTACGCCTCGCGGGCAATCATTATTCAGTGTAATAGTACTTATTCAGAACTTCTGTATTCATAATAAACATACCATTTCGATGTAATTTTCGTCGCAAAGGGGACAATCCAACGATATTTTCCGGTTTGAAAACTGAACGATAGCTCTTCAGGATTCATAGATGTTTAGATTAGAAATTTTAAACTCCTCATAATTATATAAGCAGTTGTTGGTATATAATGAAGCGTAAGCATGCACTACAAAATAATTTTTTGGAGGTGACAAAGAAAACACGAAAGGCAGAACTCCGGTAGAAAAGATGATGTAAAATGCATAGACCTATAGTCTATTGTAAAATGCAGCTGTCTGTACGATGTCGCTAACATGCGGATGCTCTATATTTTATTCACAACTTTTCGCGCCTTTTCTTTAAATATATCTTACGTCATTTTGTGCCTCAACCTACTCTATTTTGGACTCGTTCACTAAAAGTGTTACGTGTCGTTAAAATGTCTTTTTATACATATATTTTTTTTTTAATTATATATATATATGTGGAAATTTCGTATCTTTGTAACTTTTGCGACCTTATTGTCCCTAGCTTATAGGTCTTAGGTTAGAATCAAGCACAGGGTATTGTGGTTCTATTTTACGGAAGTGTTTTATGAATAACTCGATATGTAAGAGATACTGAGCCTCAGAAACGGATGGTTCTACAATACTACCCCAATACCCGACACGTGTACAAATTAGTTTCCATCTAAATCTGTCTTTAATATTGTAAGTTTTTTGACCGGGCTTGATTAATGGCCGTTTTTTGCTGTCTCGTGTAAAGATTTGATATGTAAAGTGGCTGCATCGAATTGGATTAATTCGGTCATACACTGCGTCGACGTACATCATTTTTCCGAGGTTATAAAACTTTGAGTTAGTTTAGAAACTAATAAGGAATAATTTAACTCGGTGACTGTAACCGCCTATTTACAGACTTGGATTATATCAGTTATTACTTTGAATATGACAAAAATTAGCATGCGAAGCTCTCCGAATCAAGAGGTGACCTTAGCCGGCAGTGGGATCTATATAGGGCTCACTACACTGTGAGCACTACACTATGAGCACAGTGGAATTATCGTAATAGGAAATATTACGATAATTCCACTGTGCTCATAGTGATATAAAACTGGAGATTAGCGTGATATTGATACTGTGATCACGTAATCATGTTATATGCCTTGAATTTGGGAGAGGTAGTAAACTGTTATGAGGCTTAATTAGATAATAGTTTCGAAAGAAAAATGAATGTACTCGTATGCAGTGTGCGATCGAAAGGCGGCCATGATAATATTTTAAGTAAATGACAGTTGATGTTTACCTGTATATGAATGTCGTAATTTACAGTCTGTGAACCCGGTCATAAATACATGTAGTTGTACTAAATTTCGTTCCAAAATTATTATTCTTTAGCGCTTCTAATGCATTAATAGATCTATATAAGCGTTTGTGTTCCGGTGTCGAATGTTTGTCGGTTGTCTCAATGTAAGTCATTGTTTGTACATAATTACGGATGTATTCCTTCCGCCAGTG